TTTTTTTGTATTTAGTACAGGGTCTCACTACACAGATCGGACTTGTAGTGATCCTGTTTTCAGCCTCCCAAGAGCTGGGATTATAAGTGTGTGCCACCAAGCCCAGTCTCCAATGGTTATATTTTCAAAGTGAATACATAATAGTATTATCTTTGTGAATTAGCCCATGTAAGCTAAATAACCCAGCAAAACATGTTTTAATGTAAAATTCAGAGCAAAATGTTCCTCAGCTATGTATTATTTTTGCAAATATGTAGATGTAGCATTTTAATTTATAAATCATCATAGTACCAGGATATAGCTATAAAATAATTTAATGCACTATGTAGTATTAGGTTTCTACAAATGTGTGAGATTGACCTGAATGAAACCTCCTGCCTGCAACTCCTATGATGGCCACCAGAGGGTGTACACCCACGGTGCTTTTGGATGAGCGCTTTGCAGCTGCTAACAGCTCGTGTTAAATGCGGACCAACCCAGCGCTGGAGATCAGGACTCTTGGCTGGTGCTGAGACTCCTCGTTGATGTGCCACCCTCCTAGGTAGCAGAGTCTCCTTCGGTGATTAAAAAAAAAAAGTACAGTTTTCTTTTTCAAAATAAATAAGCCTTATCATTTCTACATCAGCTTTATCTAGGAATCATTGAAGGAAGTAACAAGGTAGACACAACACATGCTCTCCCAAGTGTAAAGCAATGTTATGAGTTAATAAATAATTATGTTGATTTGCCAAGCTGGTCATCCCATCCCGGACGCAACACTGAAGAATCACACTCCCTGTCCTTATAAAGAAAGGTGTCTGCTGCGGGAGACTATGGAGGAAGCCTAACGACACCATTACCTAGGGGCCCTAACAGATGTGACAGCTCTGAGGCAGAGCACAGGTCCCGCCTGAGCATATCAGGAAAGGCATTTAGGTAGGCAGAAGTTTCACTCTGAAACAACAGTAGGAGTTAGCCGGGCAGAGATAGGGAGAGAGAATCCCACCAAGGGGAGAAGAACCAGAGATGAACAAGAGGATGATGTGGCCTAGAACACACAAGTTCAAGAATTCATCTCGACTGCGGAGCTTCAGAAGTGGATGGGTCATAGCAAGAAATAAGAAATAAGGCTGTGGCAGGAGCAGGACCTGAAACCTCAGGTACACTGTCGCATTTGCTAGAGTTGGACCTGGCACCATGCCTGCTTTCTCACGGACCACGGGCTGTGTACCAAAGGGCCAGTGTTTCATCCTTGTGTGAATAACTGCCCAGCACTTGCTAGGTGCCTCATTAACATTTGATGAGCCAAAATGAGTGTGTATGCTTTATAGAAATGTACACTTTTCATATTAGCTCATTCTAAAGATATCAAACCTTAAATGTAAAAAATAACAAAAGAGAAAGCTATCTGAACATGTGGCACACATCTATAAGCCCAACACTCAAGAGGCTGAGGCAGGAGGATTGCAATGAGTTTGAAGCCATCCTGGGCTCCATAGTAAGTTCAAGGCCAGCCAGGACTATGTAATGAGACCTTGTCTGAAAAAAAAAAATCCAACAAAATGTAATAAACATGTGAAAGAATTGCTTTCTGCTCTTGTGAGAAGGTTAGCTGATTCTCATTGTACTCAGGCATCCTGTCTTTTCTCTCAGGCAGGGTCTTCGTCCATGAATGGGCTCACCTACAGTGGGGTGTGTTTGATGAGTATAATAATGATGAGAGATTCTACTTATCCAAAAAGAAACGTGAAGCAGTAAGGTATGTACGTTTTCATTTCATCTTTAAATTTTAGCCAGTTACTTCTAGAATTGATTTCTTTAATATGAGTCTTTATTTTTCTCTGGTGCATTCTCTCAGTGCATTCTTTTCAATTTCTATGGTCATCTCTTTGCGTTCTTTTTTAGTTGGTGAAATGATCTACTTGTCAGCTATAAATCATTTGCCCCTTTTCAACAACAATAGTGCGCCAACGATAATGAGTTGGTAGCTGCTATGTGCAGTGCTTGTCTTCCTGCACCAGAATTGGGGCATGCAGAGAGCTAGCGGGGCTCTTAGAGCGGTGTGAACCTGGGTAGGCTTTCACTGCAAGCAGGTCAGGGGCAACTGTGGGACTCACCTGAAAGACAATGCCCATATCTAAAAAAGCAAAAAAAGTTTCACGGTTTGAATTAAACCCTGCATGATGTCAGAAAAAAAAAAAAAAAAAAAAAAGCTAAATCACACTTGGAGAGTACCCTTGGCAGCCACAGCTTTATGGGTGAGTTTTGACAGCCACTAATTTCTGTGTGTACAAACAGCAACAGTCAAACATAAGTGATACAAAACTCAGCAATTTTTTGAAAAGAAGCTAGGATAACTCAGAAACTAAAACTGGACAGGTAAAGTGAAAAACAAACTGTAGTACTGAATCTCTAACCTGATAAAGATTGTAAATAAAAGGCTAATAAATTACAGCTGGGAGGATTAGGGGACTGACAAACGTAAAGCCCTGAAGGATACTATCAATAATCCAAAAATGTAATATTAGGTAGGTGACACAGTACTACACGGAGAGCAAAGTTTAAATGAGTACCTAAATAGTCTCAAAATCAACTTGGCAAAATTATATGTTTATTCATATTATTCATATGTTCAAAGCTAGTAATCTCCTTTTAAAAATGAAAAGCTGGTACAACACCCTTTCTGCCTCCAGTCTTTCTGGACCCACGTTTCCCTAAGGAGAGGGCCTTAGCTTTCTTCATCATTAGTCTTGACTCGGTGCAGTCATAGCCAAGGGGGCTGCGTGGGGCTCAGGCCTCAGCTCGACCTCCTTCCTGAACATTGACATTCTCCATGTTAAACTTGGCTCATCACATTCAGCTCTTCCAGCCCTGTTCGCTTCCACTATAACGTCCCTCATTGTTGTGCTTTCCAGCAATAAATGGCCTCCAGGCACATTACTAACTCCCAGAGCCACGCACGGTCTCTCAGATCCCGTCAGCTTGTACCATTGGCACCACACAGCCCACACGCCTAGGGTCACTTCCCCAATAGAATCCATGCTGATTCAATGCTCAATAGATGGACTGAATGGATTGCGCAATAGAATCCATGCTCTCCAATCTCAGTCGGTGGGCACGCTTCCAGAGCTGACATCTGCCTGTCCCACTTCTCTTTTCTAAGCTTCCAGATAATGAACACACTGTCTTCCTTTGAGAGAAAGGCTGATTTGTACAAATTCCTTTCTGAGATATTCTAGAAAAAGCCACCTATCAGCATCTTTCCTTCCACAGAAACTATATATACTACATTAGCAAGGCTGATATGATTTCATGTCCTCTTAAAAAGAAATTTTATAACACATGAATAAGATGTATTGCTTCTTATCTTTCAAACTTTTAAACAATCACCAAAGTGACAGAACTTCCCTAACAAGAGGTTACTCCTTGAATATGACACAGGTCATCCATGAAAGCCAAGTCTATACCGCATTTCCTAAAGAAACACTAGAGACAGTCCCAGGAATGAGAGGAGGATGGCCAATATGACCACAGTTACTCAAATTTGCTTAGAAAGTTATAGTCAATACAATAACACTTGAAATTTGGGAGGTACTGAAATAGAACAGACTGTCAGCAAGAAAGAGAAAAAGTACCTTTATGCAAATGATAGGTAGTCCATTTACAATGCCCAAGAGAATAAATTGAAATTAAAATCAAGGTATCAGGTTGTGGTGGTACGTGCCTGGAGTCCCAGCACCTGGGAGGCCAAGGCAAGAAGATTGCTGTGAGTAGAAACCTAGCCTGGGATACATAGTGCATTCAAGGTCAGTCTAGACTACACAGCAAGACCTTGTATCAAAAATGAATGAATAAACAAATTCAACAAGGTGACCAGATACAAAATAAAGAGTCAACTTGCTTGTCAGTATATCAATAGTAACAGTAACAGTATTCTGGTTTTTTCTGGAAACATAATGGAAGAAAAAATACCCAATTCAAGATAGTCATTCAGTTACAAACAAACAGAAACCTCTTAAAAATATGAAATATTTAAATAATTAATTCACTCTTTCTAAAACACCTAAAACCAAAACAAAATAAGAAACTTTCAATTCATGAAAGATATAAATTCAGTAAAAA